ATCTCTTAATTAAAGAAACAATTAAAGTCTATTATTCACTCATTACTTTAGTTAAAAAGTATTTATTGAACACCTACTACTTGTTATTAATAGGTATTAAGACTTTGGAAATAAACAGGGAAGAAGAAAAACTTTGTTCCTCTACTTAAAAGCTTGTAATGGAAGAGTCAAAGAAAAACTTAGCACTAAAGCATATAAATAAATTTATAACTACTAGTTGTGGTAAGGACCATGTTAGACACAACCAGGTGTAGTGAGAAGGAATATTCCTGGGGTGTTGGGGTGTAGGGAAGGCAGGGCACCTATCTAAGTGGTGAGCAGTGTCAGGAATAAACATGTAGTAAAAAGGCTCTTCATTTACAGACCTAGAGAGATACTAAAGCATGGATGGGCCTCTGAATCCCACAGGAACAAGGCCTCCTGTTGTGGGTCAGGGTGCTGGCCAGCTGAGACCTAAGCAAGGTCAGCCAGGCCCTGTGCCTTCCTCTAGGCTCCCCTACTACCCTCCCAGGATTGAATCCGGGCCTGCAAAGCTCAGGCCTGCATTCTAGTTCTGGCCTTGCCCACCTCCTACTAAGGATTTGACCTTGGCCAGAGCTTTAACCTTTTCAAGTTTTCATCTCCTCTAGTTGGAATGGGAATGATAATACTGCACCACATTTTTAAGATGAGCAAATAAGATAACATTTGGAATATGTGATGTAAGCAATGTAACTGTTTAATATGATTGTGATGATGATGATGATGATGATGATAGAGGTGATGTGGATGACAAGTTTTAATGAGGCTTTACACCCTCTGTAGAAACTATCTAAAATCAAGTATTGACATGTTTTTTAAATACCCATAACAGTGCCTAGAGAGCAGTGGTTGTCAATTAGATGTATATGGAAGTATGCACAGGGAATGGGGGTTGTGATAATTTTGCTGTCACAATACTACTGGAATGTAATGGGCAGGGATGCTAAAGGTTCTGCAATGTGTGGGCCATTCTCGTACACCAAAAAACTGTCCAACCCAAAATGCCCATAATGCCCTGTTGAGAACCACTGTTGAATGTCAAATACAGAGGAATCATTCAGCAAACGTTTGCTAGGTAAATGAGCATTGACTTATTTTATTTCCTTCAGACCACTCTTGAAATCAAGGCTGCAGCTCATTCACCTTCACCTTGCCAGATCTCCAACCCACATAACCAGCATTTAATGACTATCTCTTAAACATTCAATCAATAAATCAAGACAATCTATTAAATTACAAGAAAGTATAACTATTTGACATGGAAAGTTAAGGGAATGATGTTCAACACAGTCTCTGCAGGTATAAGAAGGATACTAGGAAGACAATACAAAAACTTAGATGTCCTAGGGAAATAAATGAGGCTCTGCTCCATCACCAGGTTTTTAATTTCAATTCTGAAACATAAATATCCTAAGAACAAAGAGAGAAAAAGCAGTGCTTTACAAAGATCTATATGCTTTACAGAGAGGTAAATTAATTTAACTCAAAGATATAATTTTCCTCTGGATGTCAATTCGAAAGTAGGTGGGTCAAAATTAAGCCACTTAGATTTCTACTTATTTCTTTTAGGGGGAAAAGCACAGCACACAGAATGAATCATACTGCGTACTTTTGTGTTTCAAAAGAACAAAAGTAGTATTCTCAAGGAGATATATCAGGAGCCAAGCAAGGGTTTAAAATAGCAAAAGGTTTCAAAGTAACTGAAGCAGTGTATAAATAATGGAAATAGAGACAAATAAGCATCAAAAGGTATTTTAAAGATTAGATCACTTTTCCTAATTCAGATAAAGGGTAAACTTTGCATTCAGAAGTTAAGGGAGTGGAAAATCACAGCAAGCCAAATTATAGGGACATGGCAGAAATAGGGCTAAATACCATAAAAACAATGTAAACAGTAAAAGTGAGTATACAATAAGGCCATAACATTAAAAAAATGTAAGTAGTAATGGGAGAATTTTTAAGATTTTTAAAGATTTCAGAATAGTAATAGAAATGGAGAATTACTGCATACATATTTTAACTGATACTGAACTGACTCCTTAATACACAAGTGCTTTTCTAAAACCGAAAATTCAATTGCAAGAATCCAAAATATTGATCGTTTGAAAGACAAAGAAAATGTAACCAAATAAATCTCCTAATAGGAGCTTTTCATGTCTCAGAGCTGCCAAACACTGCTAGGTCCTTAAAAATAAATTAAATTCTCTATACCAATATAACCAGGAATTACATTACATATTTATATGACATAGGATATAAAAAAAAAAAAATCCCCAGAAGGTAGCATGTAAGCAAATGAACAAATAAAGAACTGCCATTCAAAGTAAAGTCAATTTTTCAATATCAGAAGCTTCCTAACTTGCTTCTTTGGAGAAAGAAATACATCCTCTGCAGACTCCTAAAAGTCTCCATTTATTATGAGCAGTTCACCTGAATAAGGTGTTAACATGGAACAAATTTCAACATATTTTGTTTTTCTGTTACATACATCAGGAAAAGAAATCTGTTAACTTTTTTTTTAATTTCAGCATATTATGGGAGTACAAATTTTAAGGTTTCGAATAATGCCCTTGCCCTGCTGCCACAAGTCTGAGCTTCAAGTGTGACCATCCCCCAGAGGGTACATATCTCACGCATTAAGTATGTATATACCCGCCCCCTCCTCCCACCTGCCCAATACCCATTTAATGTAATTTCTATGTATCCACTTAGGGGCTGATCAATTAATACCAATTTGCTGGTGAGTATATGTGGTGCTTGTTTTTCCATTCTTGGGATACTTCACTTAGTAGTATGGGTTCCAGCTCTGTCCAGGAAAATACAAGATGTGCTATTATCACCATTGTCTCTTAGAGCTGAATAGTACTCCATGGTATACATATACCACATTTTAGAAATCTGTCAACTTATTGTCGGTTTAATTAATTCTTAGAGGCTCACAGTAGGCCTACAATGGTACAGAATATAATGAACTTTATATTTTTTAAAGTTTTGGATTTTTTCACAGGGAGGAGAGGTAATAATGCAGAAAAATAGATCACAAACAGATAAGACCTATAATATTTCTTCAGGATGAGCACTTAGGTTCTTAGGTACAAAGAAATTACACGTAATGGTTTAAATCATCTTTCCTTTATAGGCTTGCTTCCTATCTACCTATCCTAAAGTATACTTGATGAAAAAAGAACTTCAACTAAAATGACCTCAAGTGTCTACAGAGGTTATTTCCAGATTGTAAGACTCATCTTGCATCACAGCTCAAGTATATTCCATACAATGGGACACATAGCAAGCTTGGAGCAATTGAATACTGTGCCTAGGCCTGTGTATTTATAAAAAAGTAAAATTTGACCCATCAACATAGCCAAACATAGGAGCTGGTGTGGTCACTCATTTATAAACTTATTGCAGCCTTAGTGTTCTTAGTTCTTTTACTTTAGAAAAAAAAGAAAAATAGTGATTCTAAAAGGAGCCATAAAAAAGTTGACTTCATTAAATATAAGGAAAACTTTCTGATTTGATTGTCAGCATGAACATACACAAACTCTGTTTTAATCATAAAAATTGACATCTAGAAAAAGTCCACTCTGTAAAAATCTACTGGTAAAAAGAACTTTCTGTAGTATTGGCTGACAAAATGCATAGTTTCTCTAAAACTCTTACAATTACAAACATGGCAGTCCTAACATAAAGTTCCACTTACTTACAAAGTTTCTGTCTTAAATGTAACATGACCTCCTCATTTCCATCCAAAGTATTAATAGTTAAATAGGGTATTTTAATAAGTTGTTCATGTCTATACCTCTAATAATTTCATTGATTTATTATGAAAACAAGTGTATCTCATTTCAAGATCTTAAATATCCCCTTTGTGACCAAAAGGTAAATGCACATTTTAAGGGATACTACGCATTAAATTCTGTAAGCAATGTAATCTGCTAAGTGACATAACTTTTGGCCCTGATCTTACATTGAGGTTTTCACTCCATAGGCAACTGCTTGAAATCTAAACTGAAAGAACAGAAAATTGTTCTTGGGTAAATAAAAGAAAGATATAATTTTATCAGTGTATGTGCCCTCAATGCAAAATTAATTATAAAATAGTAGTGATCAAGTAAGTATACATATTGCCTGAGACCACAGGCTAAAGAGATGCTGTTTCAGTGATTATTTTTCCATTCTTCATTTTCCCTGCAAGCTCACTATGATGGTCTCTCAAGGCTATTCAGACACCTGCCAACTGTCAACATCAAGCCTCCTTTCAAATGATCGCTTCCCTACTATAAGAAGTTTAATTTTAAGCTGCAATCAACAAATCCCTGTCCTTCGCCTAACATAAAAATAGTTTCCCATCTCCTTCAAACAAAGACACTATCCACCATCTACCTTCTGTTGTTCAAAAGGGACAATTTTTAATGTCCAGTTTTTATGAAATCTTATTTTAAACTTAAAAAGGCACTGATGTGTATGTTTTATTTTCACAATGACATCTCAAGGTCTTCAAAAGGGAGACTAAGATATTTTACATTATACAAATGGTCTGCCTTCACTGTGCTGTAATTATTCACTGAACTAATAACTTGCCTAGCCTCTGCTACGTATTCATACCGTACATAAATGTCATTGATTGACTGCGCTTTCTCTTCCACATATCTAGAAAAGCACACATTTTCTTGCAGATTTTCTCCCTCCCCCCGCTTCCCCTTGGCAAGCTGCTCCATCCCTAAAACACTTTCCCTCAAAGCAAGGGGCCAGCAAGGCAGGAGACACTTGGCACCCAAAGCTGTCACCAGGGAAGGCTGGGTGCGCATGCGCAGGGCGAGAGGCCCAACCCCGGCGCCGCAGGTCGTTCGCAGGGCGGGTCCGGGGCCCCAGGTCGAGTCAGGCGGCAGCGCGGGAGCCGGAGCTGCCCGCGCGGGTTTGCGGGAGGTGGCGCCCGCGAGGACAGTGTGGCGTGCGGGGCGGGCGGGCACACTCACAATTTTAGCATCCACTCGCCCTCCATCACCAGCGTCCAGTTGGAGGCGGTCATGGGCTGGACCCGGCTCTGCTCCGGCGGCAGCGCGGCCTGCTCGGGGCTCGCCGTAGCCGCCGCCGCCGCGACCCAGGCGGCCAGGAGCGCCGTCAGCAGCGGGCCGCAGCGCCCGCCCGCCATGTTGGGGCGCCGGGCGAGGCTCCTCGGCATGGGCTGTGAGGAACGGGAGCGGCCGGGACCGCAGCCTCGCTCGCCCGCCCGCCGGGGTCTTTCCAGGCTGTCGGAGGCACCCGGGCCGCCCCGCCGCGCAGACCGACCCCACTCGCAACGCGACGGCGGGCGCCGCCTCTTATCGGCCCGTGCCGGGCGAGGCCACGCCCCCTCCCGCCTCGACTTGCCGTTGCCCTGGGTGTCGGTTGCCCTGGCAACGGCCACCCTTTCTTCCTGACCGCTAAACCCACAATAAACAGATGACCCAATGTTGCTTAAGTTAGAACATGCACCACTGGCGCTCAGGCTCCAGTCGGCAGAGGGTTGGCGCGTGTGGGCCTCTCTAAAGAGAAACATGGCCAGTAATTTAAAAATCCGTCCCCTCGTCAACGGCAGCACGAGCAACAGCAGCGGACTGCAGGGCAGACTTATGTTTACTGAAAAATGGAGGGACGTAGTGAGCATCTCTTGCTCAAAGGAAGAGGAAAATTTAAGTACTCTTTGCATGTGTATATTGAAGCATCGCTGCCCGATTGGGGATAATGATGAAATTAGGCTATGCAATTGCACTGTTTTGCAAAAAAATAATTTTAATTTCATAGAAACTTTTAGTACATGGGCAGTAACAGATAAAATGAATCAGTTAAGAATATTGCCACTTGCAATAAAATGGACCTCGCATTTCTCTCAGCTACAGTTTTGTAAGATCTAAAGTGAGAGTAGCCTTAAATGATTTCCAAATTTCTTTCCAGGTACACATTAGATGAATCCGTACCTTGGGACCAGTGCGCCATTAGTATGCAAGACTGGATTACAATTAGACCGCGGCGAAGCCTTTTGAAAGGATGTTTTACATTCCTTTACTAGGTGTGCAAACCCATGAAACTGGGTAATGTGGTTAATAGACCATGACAACGATGTAATTTCGCTCCTGGACTTAAAACAGAGACAGCAATCTGAGAGTACTTTCAGGGCACATAAGATCAATCTTCCACCAGTACTTGTAGGAGAGGAAGATTAATTTTGCCTGCAGAGAAGATCTTGCCTGAATTAGGTGTTAATTAGCAATAGCTAAAAACTGTGGGCCAGCCCTTATCATCAAAATATAACACTCAAGGTTTTACAGAATATTGTAAATTAGGAAAATGTCTTTGTAATGAATGCTACTAAAATTCACTGTTATTATGTACATACACACAATCCTATAAATTCAATGGAAAACATTTTGCTGTGCCTATAAAAAGAAATGGTTCACAAACTGGAATTCTATCATTCTTTCCAGTACAGCTTTTTTTGTGTGCGTGTAAGATTTGTGATTTTTAAAAAGTTCTTAAAAATAACATGTGATAATAAGTAAGTATGTTAATTTTGTTGACTATGATGTGTGATAACTATATTTTTTAAATTCTTTATTGTTTACAAATAGTGAAATATTTATGGGTGAAATAACACGCTGCCTAAAATTTGCTTTAAAATACTCCAAAGATAAAATGTGGGGACTGGAGGGAAGATGCATGAAACAAGTATGGCACAACATTAGTCAATGTTGAAACTAAGTTCATTTTACTCTCTTATCTACTCTTGTGTGTGTTGGGAAATTTACAAAATGAAAAGTTAAAAAGAAAGAGAGCTTCTGAGGTGCAAAAGGAATTTCTTGCTGAAGAGCTTCCTATCTCTAACACAAATTGTGTGTTTGAGGATTCCATTCTTGGCCCTTAGACTGAGGACAGTAGGTAAGAAATACAGAAAGAATGTGTGGGAGGGTTTGTGGTGAGGAGGCACAGACCAGGATAAGGAAAGGGTTGCTCTCAGACCATGATAGGCATCTCAGCCCTGACATTTCCTAGCCATGTGACTTGGGGGATTAAATTAGTTAACACCCAGTTTCTGTTGAAAAGCAGATAATAAACGAACCTGCCCCCAAAACCAGCTGTGAAGATTATAGGAGGCAAGCATAATGCCTAGCACATGGTATGGCTCAAAAGAGCTTATTTATTATTATTTGAAGACAACAATATGCTATAATGTTCCCAAGCCTATTTTCCTATACTGAAGTCAAATTCACTTAGCATGATACACAGTGTCCTTCACAATCCAGCTTCAGTTTTGCCCACCTTACATTCCACCATTCTAAAATCTCTTGTGCTTCAAAAAGCTACTTGCCATTTCCTAAGCACACTATGAGCTTTTATGCTTCCTTGGCTCTTTGTTCTGCTTAGAACACTAATTGCCTAATGAATCATTATTCAGCCTCTATCACGTAGCTCACATTGTACCTCTTACAGCACGTGTAAAAGGAGCTGCTGTCTCTTCTCAGATCTTCTTTATAACTCTTCTGTATAATTCTAACATAACATAGTGTAATTCAATTACACGTAGTTATCATACTCTCTCTTCACTTCTGCAGCCCTTACTAGGAACTCTTCAAGGTTAAGGGCACTACCTTGTATATCTTTGTGTCTCTTGCTTGGCAGAATACCCATCCCAGAGCAGTACTTGGGGTAAGCAGCTCCAACGTGGTGTTCAGGCCCTCTTTTCTTGAATGTGAGTGGGGCCTAGTGATTCACTTCTAATAGAATATGGCAAAACTTATGGGTTATTACTTCTGAGATAAGATTACAAAAAGCTGTGACTTCCACCTTTTTGGAACCCTTTTTTCTTCTTGCAGGCTCACTCGGAGACTCTGTATGGAAAGCTTCACATGACAGGGAACTAAGGACATCCTCCAGTCTATATCCTAAGAACCGAGGCCTCAGTCCAACAGCCCTCAAAAAACTGAATCCCGCAAACAACCACATGAATGACCTAGAAGCAGATCTTTCCCCAGTGCTCTTGAGTGAGCCTTACAAATGACACAGAATCAGGGCACACATCTTAGCTGAATCCTCTGCCCAGAGAAACTGTGAGATAATCAATTTAGTTATATATTAAGCCACTAAGATTTGGGGCGTTTTGTTATGCAACAATAGGTCGGTGTGCAATAATTTTCATGTTTGAGGCATATATTTACAGTTTTAAAAAGATTGGTACCTGGTACTTAGAAAAAGAGCTTTTGTCCCCAGAGTAGTTGGCAATAGTACCACTGTAGAGCAGCTATGGTTACACAGAAATACACAGATCCTAGTATGAAAAGGAATTTCTTGAACTCTGATGAGATAACAACATAGCAGGAGGGAGGGGGGGAGTTTGGTCAATGCATATTTACTTCCCCTCTCTTTCCCTACCGTGCAGAGGAGTGTGCTTCTACATATACACCCCCCTCCTTTTTTTTAGGTGACAGGGTCTAACTGTGTCACCGAGGCTAGAATGTAGTAGAGTGACCATAGCTCACTACAACCTTGAATTCCTGGGCTCAGCCTCCTCAGTAGCTAAAATTACAGGTATGTGCCACCATGTGCAGCTAATTTATTATTATTATTATTATTATCATCTGTAGAGTTGGGGCCTCACTGTGTTGCTCAGGCTGGTCTCCAACTCTTGGCCTCAAGCAACCCTTCCACCTTAGCCTGCCATTCCACACCCCTTTGAAGTTAGGTATAGCAATATGAATAGTTCTGGCCAATGGACTACAAACAAAAGCAGAGAGTGTGTATCTCTTCCTTGGTTGAAGCATTTAATCACTGGTGCAAGATGCTCCAGTGTTCCCTTCTCCAGCTGTGGAAATTTTAGAGAAAAGATTATGATCTAGGCATCTACAAGCCCAGAGTTGCCTAAATTGCTGAACTGCTCTATGAAGAACAGTTGCCCTGGGTGGTCCCCTGGAGTCTCAGTGGACTTCACATAGACAAGAGATAAATTTTCATTGGGATAGCCTATTCAGGTCAGCTACTGCTGCATAGACAACTACCCCAAAACACATTATACATGGTTCTGGGATTAACAAACTCAGCTAGTCTGTATTTGCTTGTATTCTTTCATATGGTGGCAGGCACCTGGAGGCTAAGGCTAAAGTTAGTTGAAGTCTTTTGCACTCACATCTGGCATCTGACGTAGGCTGGCCAGAACAGAAGGGGACTGACCAGGCATATCTCTTATCTATATGGTCTCTCCATGTAACCAGCTTGGGCTTCCTTACAACATGGCAGTTCCAGGGCTGTCATACTTATTTTGTCTAGAGCAGGAGTTCCCAGAAGCCCAGGTAGAGCCTGCATTGCTTCCAATGTCTGAGAATGTGACTTCTATGGGATTCAGCTGATCAAACAAGGCACTAAAGGCCAGCCTAGACTAAAGGGGAGGGGAATTCTCTTATCCCTTAACAAGAAGCAGCAAAATAAATTGCAGACATATCTAATCTATCAAAAAGGCATTCTGACAGTTTGGAATTGTTTGCCACTGAAACATAATCCAGTCTATTCTGACTAACTCACTGTCTTCCTTTGACAACTAATTCAGGAGTAGCCAAAAGGGGTTTTTATTGTTGTTGTTGTTGTTGTTTTTTCTTTAAGGGAGTGATACTTCCAGGGAGCAGAGTAGGAGCTACCATTCCCCTTTTGCCTTCTGTAAGCAGGACCTCTGAGATGCATGTGCGGGCAAAGGTATTGCAGAGAAAGATTTTCCAGCCCTTGGCAGACAGATAGTCTGATCCCTTGGTACTTAAGTACTCATGGGACTTCATGGAATTTTTGTTAAACTTATTAAAAAAGATTCAAAAAAGTGTTTAGATTTGTGTAAACAGTTCTATAAAGATCAGATAACCATCTTTTATTTGAACCCTTTTTAGCCTTGAAGAGTAGATATAAGAAAACAATTTACCAAGAGAGATAAGAACTTATTTTTTAAGGGTAGAAATTTTAATACATAGTTATTAGCAAAGACTTTGATAAAATTGGCAACTCAGGACTTGATATTAAGAAGATAATCAATGAGAGATAAGGAGAGTGTATTCAAATTACAAACTCTATAGTAATAGGGTATAGAAATAATATACAATGATTTTCTTATTAAGGATTGTGAAACTGATATGGAAATATTAAATAACCTAAGCAATGCTGTAAAATTAGTCCATAAAGTAATAATAGTACAGGAATTTAATTACACAAACAGATTTGCTAAATGCCTTACAGGAACAAGAGGTGGAAGAGAAAATTTAAATAGGACACAGTAATATTTCCTAGAACAGATGGCAGAAGAAACCATGAAGAATGGAAATATACTGAATTACACTCAGGCTTGTGAC